AAGCCTTGTTAAACCAGAAGTAATTCATGAACATTGCAAATTCCAATAGACTCAAAATAAAGTTTTTCTGGGCAACAGGTAAGGTGCTGTAGTGCGTAAGGTAGAAGTCAGCCGCATCCATACCATCACTGTGATTTATATTGGCATAGAGAGAAGTGACGTCTGCCGTCACCAAAAATGTGTTTGGGAGCGTACTGATAGTGCTGACTTCATTATGTACCTGCTTGGTATCCCGTAAGTATGAAGGTGTTTGTGAGACAAGGGGTTGGAGAAAAAAATCGATGTATTCCCCGATCCTAGAACATAAAGACCCTGTCCCACTTATGATGGGTCTACCTGGTGGCTTAATAGGATTTTTATGAACTTTTGGGAGAATATATAAAACCAGGAGCTTAGGTACGGTGGGAACTAAAAACGCCTTTTCTCTTTTATTTAGTATTTTATTATCATAGCCCATGTTAATGATGCTCTTAAGAGAGCTTTTAAAATCTGGCATGCGGTCCTTAGATAACAGGGCATAAGTAGTTGTATCCTACAGAATGTTGTTAACTTCTGTACTATAGTCCTCCTTATCAAGTACCACCACTCCACCCCCCTTGTCAGCGGGTCTAATCACAAGGTTATTTCTTTCAAGCAACATTCTTATAGCTTTTGAATCCCCTGAACTATTGTGTGGTCGTTTAACCGGTAGGTCTAGCGACCCACAGAACAGGATTCCCCAGGGCGCAGGGTCTAAGCCTCAATCTGCTTATTCACCAGAGCCCCTGATGGTGGGGATGGACTTGGAGCAGACTGAGACCAGGTCGCGGCCCCTGAGTACACCCAACTGTGGTAGATGGAACCGCCGGAGGTATGTAATGGAAGAAAGCCTGATGTGAAGAGGCTGGCAGGCCCGGGCAGTAGTGTCTGGATCTGTGCAGGATGGATGGACGGATGACAGTGCAAGTATAGCGTAATCAGACAGGCCAGGTCGGTAACAGTGGAGGCAGAACGGTACAGAGCAGCAGACAGAGAGTATTCGGGTCACAAGCCAAGTTCAGCAACAGGAGGTAAAGTAATCAGGAGTAGGCAGAAGAGTAGTCAAACGAGCCAGAGGTCAGAGCAGGAGACGGTCAACAGGGATCAGGATCAAGCAGGGTCGGCAACAAGGTATATATCTCAGGAACAGATGAGCAGGGAACAAGGAACAAAGACCATACGGCAACTCAAGTATGCACAGGGCTGGTTTAAATAGCGCGCCCTGCGCTGTCATTGGTGCCAAGCGCATGTCCGCGATCGCGAGTGCGCATGCACGGCCGCCGCTGTTGCCATGGATGCCTATGTCCTAGTGCCCATCGGATATTGCACATTGGCGTTCTGCGCATGCACCGACCCGTGCGCCGCCGCGAGCCCTTTGATTCCTGACAGATTGTAAGTAGATGCATTGCGTAAGTTGGAGTGAGTAAATCCGTCTGTGGGAGCAGTGTTGGAAATAGGGTAGCAAAGTATCTCTTGAGAGATAATTATCGTGCAAATGTATGTATGTCTATATACGTATCAAATTTGTTAAGTCCTTTGGCAGGGGCATATTTCAATCCCTTGTCCAATAATTGTAGCTCATTATCCGTCAAATTTGCTTTGCTGAGATTAAAAATCCCTTGTCCACCTATACCCTTCTTTTTTTGGGGGTGTCTGTTCGTTCTCCTTCCACCTCTCTTTCCCCTCCGGTATCCCTTCTTTTGCGTATCCTGCCTTCCCCTAAAAAAGGCTGCCTGGGATAATTGGCGGGGTGATGGTTGCTACCCCGTTCAGCTGTCGGGGGAGGTGCTCTATAAAAGTTACTGTGAGAATAGTTGTTACTATTTGTGGAGTTATGCCAATGATCTCTATTGTTGGCCTGGTGATAAGTCCCTCTATTTTGCCAGTTAGTCCCTCTATTTTGTCGTGGGGATGAAAATTGAGGTTTCCTATGTGGTCCCGTGTTTTTTGGACCTTGGTTATTATTCCGAAAGTGAGAGGGGTAATTGTTTCTATGAGGGGTATTATAATAGGTATTGAAGGATGTATGATTCCTTTTGGGTGGGGTATTGGTGGTGTTAGGATGCCAACGATGGTCTCGAGAACCTATGTTGTCATCATGTAAATCCTGTAGGGGGTTCAAACCGATTAGAGGTCGGTAAATCATATTGACTATTATCATAAACTTTATTGTTATGTTTGCTGTTATTACTAGACCCATGTCCTAGTGTGGGGGTTTTAGAACTAGGAACAGGAGGGGCAGGAGATTCTTTATACTTCTGCCAGTCAAATACCACTTGATCTGAATAATCCTTGTAATCCCTGTTGTACTTTTTTCTTTTTCTTAATTTTTTGTTCTTTTTCCACCCTTCCATATGTAGTTTTATTTTGTCGGATTCAGCTCTATAGTTGTCACTATCTTTAAAGGGGGCTAATTTTTCGCGTACCAAGTTAATCTCTTTATCAAGGTAGGTGAGTTTTTTTCTTTTTACGTACAACGAGAAACTTTAATAGGTCAATTCCGGTATTGTTAATCGGTACCATTCAAGTTGTCCATTGGGATCTTCTAAATCAGGGCGAATATCCCAATGGAGAGATCTTGGGACCATCTGTTTCTTGATGTATTTATCCAGGAATGAGATATCCCAGAGAGTTTTAATCTCTGCTGTAGTCAGATTTTTAAGGTGTACAAAAAGCCCTTTAAGATCCTCATTATCATTATCAAGAGTAAAGAAATCTTCAGATATAACACTCCTGGATGATCGGAGATCAAATATATCCCCCATATTAGATGGATTTAAAATGACACTAGAGATGAAAAAATAACTAATATGAAAGAAAGAGCAGCTGCAAACTAACAATGGTTAACACAGACAAATAAAGCAAGATATAGTGAGTGCTCTTTGATAAACAGCAGCTGAGACACTTAAGGTAACCACAGTATCTATGTAGTAACAGTAAGTATAAAAAAAAGTGCAGTGCTCAATATAAAATGAAGTAAAAAAACTCCTGTATAAATAAGTAAATCAATAGAGTTCAGCAGATGGCACCAGCTGTAGTTTTCTATGAAGCCAGAAGCACATGGATAATAGTTTTATTGTATATCAGAAAGATTCAGGGCAGTAAGCATAATAAAACGAGTATAAATGAAACTCCATGTAAAAGTGCAACACTGACCCTTTAAAAGATGGCCGCCGGGCCTCCTCGTGGCTCCGGCAGCAAAATGACGTCATGCTCTGTACAGCTCCTCCTAAGGCCTTTTGTGCTAAGGCACATCATCAGAGGGGAGGCTGGACAGAGGCGTGACAGATGTCTGTGGTTTATATAGGAGAAGTGGCGTGCGCATTAAGCCGTCGCTATTTTCCCGTAGAATGTCAACTCTTTATGCTGATGATGCCTTGATATTTATGGGAGATACGGGTGGGTCCTTATCCTCTCTTATGTTGATAATCTCTACATTTAGGTTCTTTTCAGGATTTTTGATTAATTGGGGCAGATCTGTTCTTTTCCCCCTAGATACTCAGCAAGTGACGCTTCCCCCTTGTACTCAGCAGGTAAAAATTGTGCAGCCCTTCAAATACCTAGTAGTATGGGTTTATCTCCGTACAGGATTATTTACAATATAATTTGCAGCCAATGTTGGAAAATGTTAACCGTAAGAGTTGGATATGGTATAAACTCCCTTTATCTGTTGTGGGACATATTAACCTTATCAAAATTATCTGGGCCCCTATTGTTGTGTATATTTTACACAATTCCCCTATCTGAGTAACACAGAAATGGTTTAAAAAGACATATTCCCTTTTCCAAATTCTAATTTGGAAAGGGAAACAATCTAAGCTACTCTTGCCCATCTTACAGCTACCTAAAGACGGGGGAGGATTGGTGGTCCCCTCTGCAGGGCTGTATTTTTTGGCAGCCCAGCTGCAACACTTTTCTGGGTTGGTGACTAGAAACGGGACGGATCCCATCCAGGCTGTGTTATTAACAGGATCTGCCAATGTCACTTAATAGCTCAGCTAGAGGCAGGTAGGTTTTGGTACTATCTTCAGAACCCCACATTATTACTTATGGCCAAGGTTTGGGATGAGATGAAGCGAATCATGAAATATGAAGGGATTTCAAGATATCAGCCCATTTGGGAGGGGGCAGGCTGGAATATTTCAATAAATTGCAGGGCTTTACTGGCTGGCACTCTAGCATCCAATTCCTACACTAGCTTATATAATAATGGCCAATTGAAATCCTTTGCAGATCTCCAAACTGAATTTGCTATTCCCTCATGCAGATTCTTTCAATACCTTCAGCTACGCCATGTCCTCTTTGCTCAGGCTAAGAAAAGTACCCTTAAGCAAATCACAACCCCACTTATAGATCAACTGGCGTCGGCCACTAACAAGAGGGGTCTTAGATCTTCCCTCTACAAATCTCTCTTAGATTGCTTTCAATGAAATATACACTTATCTGGCAGGAGAGGATGGTCTGTGGATGTTTCTACCAATGGTGATATGGAAATTTGGCAATCCAATCTAGAGCAAGTTCCCTTGGTGTCCATTTCTCCAACTTAGGAACTGTCACAACTTTTTTGTAATACACTGGGTCCATAGTATGCCATATGGTCTACACAAATGGAGCCATAGAGGTACAACAGACTGTCCTCACTATATGAGTTCCCCAGCAGGCCACTTGCATGTTCTTTTGGAAGTGCCCCAATTTAGTGTGTTACTGGAGCACTATCATCACTACTATTAACCAAGTATTTCAGGTGAGTTTACAAAATGATCCTCTGACATGTATATAGGGCTTAAAATTTCAAGTCCTGAACTACTAGCTAGGCCTTAGAGTTACTCGCCACCAACAAACACACACAAACAGAGACACCTGTACACACACACAGACATGTACATACACACACATACACACACACACACAGAAACATGTACACATATACAGACACATGCATACACACACAGGCATGTACAGACACGCATACACACAGATACATGTACATACACAGAAATACAAACGCACAGACACATGTACATACACACAGACACATGTACATACATACACAGACACACACAGACACATGTACGTACATACACACACAGACACATGTACACACACACAGACACATGTACACACACATACATTTACATACACGCAGACACATGTACAGATACACACATGTACATACACACAGACACATGTACAATTGTACATGCATACACAGACACACACATACACACACAGACCACCACCCCCCTCCCATAAAAAGTTACAGTACTTCGTTGTTCATTCACAGATCCGGGCACTGCACTCTAGGTGGAGGCAGAGAGCACAGCACACACTCCTTGCTTTGCTTTCACTGCGCTCAGCTATTGAGCAGTCTGACGGCTCCCAGTGCCATTGACAGGTCCGGCATGAGCTCTGAGCCTGCTCAGCAAGACAACTCTGGGGGACACACTCGCCCCCACCATAATTTCCACTCACCATTGGTGAGCAGGCAAGTGGAAATTTCAAGCCCTCTATTAAGATATAGATGAAGAAATGTATACACCCCAGGTCAGGACTGCAATCACCCGACTTTTGTTTCTAGCCCGCAAATGTATTTTGTTGAAATGGCTTGCACAGTCACCCCCCCACATTTGAGGAATGGCGAACACAAATCAATACAAACCTATTGAAAGAAAAACAGATTCTGAAACAACATGATACTCCTCTAAAGTTTAATTAACTATGGGATCCATGGTTTCTGACTACGGGTCTACACTCACTAGCCCTTGTATCCCTGCGATTACTACTAAGTATTTTATATCTCCTTAGAGGATTGTGCAAGAATGGTCTTAGACTATATAATCTAGCTGAGTGGCAGAGAAGTATTCTTTAAAAGAAAAATTAGGTATTAACTATAGACACAGAAGTGGGCTAGCCTCTACTCTCTCTATTCTAATGGGTTAACTGTTTGTTACATATTTGTTACACCTCACTGGTCTAATGGTTAATCATAACAGAAGTAATTCTTTTTCACCACTCAAAATGATAAAGTCTAAGTGTGATTACCGCAGTATTATGTGAGGAGCCATGTGCTTTACTGTCTTATTTTGTACTTCTCTGAGTTTTTGTTTTTTCTTTTGTTTGGTTTTGTTGTCTGTGCATCGATAAAAACTTTAATAAAAAAGTTTTTTGGGAAAAAAATACATAAAATTATTTGCACACTTAACTATTTGAATATGGTTATGTTATAAGACATACATATATTTCTAACTGTATTGATTACAAATAAATATTTGATGATATTAAGAACCTTTTTCCCAGCACTGACTATTTTTGTCAGGATAAAATATTTTTGTATCCATATATATACATCATAACATACATACAATTTACAGCCATATACTTACAAATAGGTCCATGATAAGTATAGTGATTTTGTCCAGTAAAAGAGTTTGTAACATGCTAGTTTGTAAGCAGGCACAGATATATATATATATATATATATATATTACGCCATGTCATAAGGTCTTAACCTTATGTCTTGCAATGTAGAGTCCATGAACTGACTTATTTTATCTGAATAATTTGAGCAAGGCAAATCTTACACTGTTACAAGCAGCTTATATGTTTCAGTGGAGGTCTATTCTCTTGTTTATTTTACCAGTGTTGAGACAATGGCAGGCGCTAGACACACAGGCTGTCAATTGTTTGGTCCACAAGTAACACAATGCATTGGACTTATCCCTAGACAAGGATTTCTATTTCTCATCTATCTGGTCAAATGTCATTTGCTGGTTCATCAACATAGCCCAATCTCACAGTAATAAAAGATTCTCTCCTGAGTTTCAGGAGTGTGCTTACTAGATACTCCATTGTTCAGAGACTATGAGGAACTTTGACTTATTTAACTCATCCACAACTTTTTTGTAAAGCAATTGTCACTTATGAAAGTTAAACTAAAATAAATATATATTAATGGTGTAGCACAAAGATGTGTAAAGATATATAAATATGCTATATAGTGTCAAAATCTATTAGTGCATACGTTACATATATATGGTTGAAACCAAAATCTCAGTGCTACAAATACAGTGCATACAATCCCCAATGTGTCAATAATAAATGATGAATGATATATCAAATCCTGTAAATTAAACCACAGTGCACGAATTACATATACTGTATATAGTTAAGACCAAAATTTCAATGCTGCACATATATTGGCATGTGTATATTCACCATTACCTGATGAAACACTCAAATTCTGTACTTGAGACCAAAATCTCAGTGCTGCAAGCACAAATAGATACTTCCAATAAAAGAATAGTGCATGGTGTTCAAACTAATAAAAAGTGTCACAAGTCAAAATGATATATTTGCAAACATAAAAAGGCTGTACTGCATAGTTTCCCAGCTAAGGATAACTCCCAACTGTGGTAATAGATCAATAATTAACGTGCCCCACTTCTGTGAATATGTCAAGTGCGCTTTGTGATAATCTCACAGGTATTGCTCCTTCTCCTCTTGTTGTGGAGCTCTTGAATTTAAACTCCTCAATTACTAATAGTTGCCAGCAAACACTAATGAATATGGAATATCACAAGTATGTAAGTATGTATTTATTTATCTATGTATTTATTCCATCATCATAAAGATAGTATGTACACAATAGGATTTACTGTAGGTAGTGGAGTACAATAATTACATATTATCCACTTTGACCTCTTGAAAATGTACCCCCTTTATGACCAGGCCATTTTTTGCTATACGGCTCTGCGCTATTTTAACTGATAATTTCGCTGTCATGCAACACTGTACACACAATATATTTATATAATTGTTTTCACACAAATAGAGCTTTCTTTTGGTGGTATTTCATCACCACTGGGTTTTTCAAAATTTTGAAAAAGAGCAATATGTACTAATTTCTTTTATAAAAAATAGCCAATAAACTCAAATTTCATCATACATTTAGGCTAAAATGTATTTTGATACATGTCTTTGGTAAAATTAAGTGTATATTGGTTTGTGTGAAAGTTATAGCATCTACAAACTATGGTATAGATACTGGAATTTACACTTTTTTACTTTCTGACTATCACATTTCTTAAGGTGCTAAAATGACAGGGCAGTACAAACACCCCTCAAATGACTCTTTTTCAGAATGTAGACACCCTAAGCTATTTCCTGAGAGGCATGTTGAGTCCATGGAAGATTTATTTTTTTCCACAAGTTTTTTTTTGTAAATGACAAAAAAAAATGTTTTTTTACACAAAGTTGTCAATTAAATGGTGTATTGCTCACACATACCATGGGTATATTTAGAATTACACCCCTAAATATATTCTGCTACTTCTCCTGGGTGTGGGGATGCCACACATGTGAAACTTTTTGGGAGCCTAGCTGCATACAAGAGCCCAAAATCCAATGAACCCTTTAAAAGCTTGATGGTGCGTAAATTCCTCATTTTACTTCTTTACTATCTATCACAGTTTTAGAGGCTCTGAAATTCCAGGATAGCACAAACGCCTCACAAATGACCCCTTTTTGGAAAGTAGACACCCCAAAATATTTGCTGAGAGGCATGTTGAGTCAATGGAAGATTTTATTTTTTACTGCAAGTTTTTGGAAAATGACAAACGGTTTTCTTTTTTTTTTTTCTACAAAGTTGTCATTTTAATGATATACTGCTCACACATCCCATTTGTACATGTGGAAATACATCCAAAAATATGTTCTTCTACTTGGATATACTACATGTGCAAGACATTTTGGGAGCCTAGCTGCATACAGGAGCCCGAAATCCAATGACCCATTTGAAAGCCTGAAGGTGCGTAATTTCCTCACTTCACTTCCTCAATACCTACCACAGTTTCAGAGCCTCTGAAAAGCCTGGATAGCACAACTACCCCCACCCCAGGTGATCCCTTTTTGCAAGGAATTTAATAAGAGGCATGGTGAGTATTTTGCAGATCTCATTTTTTTGTCACAAGGTTTTGAAAAATAATGAAAAGAAAAAAAATGTTTTTGTTTTCTTTCTTCATTTTCCAAAAACTTGGAGAGTATACTTTCCAAAAAGGGGGCATTTGGAGGGTGGGTGTACTATTCTGGCATTTCAGGGCCTCCGAAACTGTGATGGGTAGTCAGGAAGTGTAATAAAGAAATAAAACCCTTTAACCTCTCCTGAGTGTAGCTCGGGGTAAACTTTCAGTACCAAGATCGGTAACCCCGCGCTACACTCTGGAATACCCTGCAGCGTTGCTCCAGGATCCCTGTTTCACTTACCTTGTCCTGCGCTCCAGCGATGTCCCCCCTGCAGTGTCCCTGGACATCTCCTCCAGTCGGGTTCCGGTCCCTGCGAGCGTCGGCGCGTACAGGGGCCAGAACCAGCAGGAAATTCAAAAATTTTAAAAGTGACATTTGTAGCAAACTTGCTCATCAGAGATGGACGTGGAGTTCCACTTTTTTATTAGAAGTATTCCTCAATCCTTTATTCCCTACCCCCTCCCTTCCTGAGAGGCACAGGGACAAATGTGTAAGTGTTAAAAGTGCTGGCAGGCTGGAGCAGCAGGGGGCCCAGCGCTACAAAGCCCCCCCATAGAGACAGCAGACTCTCTGTCCCAAGGCCTGTGTAAAATCACACCTCCTAACCAAGATAAGATAGTTTTTCCCTGGACTTGAAAAGAAGTTGGAACCTCATAAACCCTACCAGCCATGTGACAGAAGGTAAATGAACATTCCTCAGGTCAGCTGTCCGCTATGTTTCATATCATGGATTATGACAGATGTTGGTTCTAATTCAGAGTTCGCCCGATTGACCCCTCCCTAAACAGCGTATTGGTCAGTTACTCAGAGCCATTCTCCCTGCTGGGGGGACTTTTAAAAACTCAGGCTAAGCTAAACACATCTCCCAATTTTAACATCGTAACAGCAGGAGATCAAAGACCTTTCGCTCTGCAACTTAGATCTGCTTACCTTAAGGCTGAACATGGCAAGTAACTTAACCTTTTAACTTCTCCCTGTTGTCTTTGCTGTGCTGTGCTGTTTTCTTTTTTTCTGAAAGTGTTAAACTGTTTCTAAAGCGCTTAATTGCAATTTACGAATCCCTGCCTTCTGAAGAGACGCTACTGTATTTGTTTAATCCTCTGCCCAATCGGCCTGCGGTGACCGTATTGGGCAAGCGACTTTTCAACCATTACAGTGTGTATTTGATAAAGAGAGTTTCCCCTTTCTCTGTACAAAAAGTGGTGGTGGCGGTGAAAGGTTAGTTGCATAATTAACCCGACCTAGTAACAAGCGCATTCAGGCTGCCGGTGCTTCGATTGCGTTCCATTAGCTGGACAATCGTTGTGCAGGGTGCAGCTGAGTGTGGCATTGTTATGCACGTCACATAGCGGTTTTAGATTGGCCGGTCCTTTGGTCACGAGTTTGGTGAGAAGGTCTGGGGTCTGACGCCGCGGGCGTGATGTATTGTTGGTCGCGGTCGTGCGATTGTCGCATGTTGAGGGTGGCGATCGGGCGACCGTGGCAACATTCACTCAATACACTAAAATCACATAGTAAAACATTACTATTTCAAAGCATTTCACACACATTTTGTCCCTACTGCTTTGTCATGTGTCCTGCCTGCATTTTTACTGTTCTTTCTACCTGGAAACTGAGAAAAGTCCATGGCGTCCAAAAAGCGTCCTTTTAGGTCAAAAGCGGTTTTAGACCAGCTAGAGAACAGTGATAGTAAATCAGAACCACTTGCAGAATTGAGTGATGATTCGTGGGGAATTTCGCCATCAGGCACTGAAAACGATTTTGCGACTAAACTCACCAATGTGCGAACTTGGCGCTATATTTCAAATTTCAATGTTTTTGGTTTGATTACATTATTGATTTAAATTTATAATTATAATATTTTTTATGATTATAATTTGATTTTGTGTTTCAAATTTTACTAGACTCTTGTTCAGACAGATTTCAGTGAGTTATTCTAAAAATGACAGGCCTTTTACAATAAAAAAATGCCATATTTTCATGCAAAAAAATGTACCGCTTTGAGCACAGAAATATTGACATAATCATACCGCTAGTTAGGTTAAAAGCCTGAAGGTGCTTATTGGATTTGGGGTCTTGTACATGGCTAGACTGCCAAATTGTCTCTCACATGTGGTATCCCCATACGTGGGAGAAGTAGCCGAATGTATTTGGGGTGTAATTCCACATATACCCATGACATGTGTGAGCAATATATCATTTAAGTGACAATTTTTTAATTTTTTTTTTGTCTTTTTCAAAAAACGTGGGGTAAAAAAAATAAATTCTCTCTTCTATTGACTCAACATGCCTCTCATTAGTTTGGTATGCATTAGAAGCTTATCTCACACATCACTCACTCTTCTAACCATTTGAAGACCAAGTTTTTTTTTTACACTTTTTTTGTTCAGATGAAATAAAATCTGTATTTGCAATATATTTGTATATTGCAAGAAAACTATTTTGAACCCAGAGACATTCTATATTTTTGTAAAGCAGAGACCCTAGAAAATTGAATGGTGAGTGTTGCAATTTTTTATGTCACACAGTACTTGTGCTGTGATTTTTCAAACACAATTGTTTGGGAAAAAATAAACTTTTTTGAATTTTAATGCACAGAAACATAATATATTTGCCAGTTGTTTGGTAAGATATAAAAGATGATGTTATGCCGAGTATACAGATATGAAACATGACATACATGTTTACATACTGACACGAGGCCGATGCTTGCATATGCCTTTCTGTGCTGGTGGGACGAGGGCGCTTTATTTTTAAATGTTTATTTTACATTTTACACTGTCCCTTTCATTTTTTTTAAATCATTTTTATTGTTGTCACAGTAGATGTAAATATTCCCTGTGATAGCATTAGGTAGTGACAGGTACTCTTTTCTGAGAAATCTGGGGTCTATTAGACTCTAGATATCTCCTCCGCCCTTAAATAATCTGATGACACCAAGATGCTTTCACAATTTAAAAATGGCACTTTTTGTATCCAGTGAAACTGAAGTGATGAAATGCTTGCAGCTTCTGGTTTCTTAGACTATAGAGATCATTGGAGCCATTCCGTTCTCCAATCAGCTCTATGGTCAGCTGGCAGAAATGGCAGCTGCATTCTCAGGTTCCCCAATGGGATGGGAAAGCTGTGGAAGGCAGCGGTGGGAAGGGGCATGTAGAAGCAATCCAGCAGCTAATTAGTATATAAGCCAACTGCCACCTAAAAAAAATTATACCAGGATGACATCTGTAGTTGCAGGTATCATCCTGGTATAACCACTCAAAGTCCAGTGATTTACCAGTACGTTGCTGGTCCTTGTTGGGCATATACTCCGTGTTTTTTTTTTTCCCTTTTTTTTTTATGCAGCCTGTGGGCTGAATAAAAAAAGAGAAGAAATCTCTGCCAGAAAAAGTGTGTGGTATGCCCACCATTAGAATATACCGCCCTGCATCCACCCACTTCTAATGTTGGGCATACATGAAATGTCCTTTTTTCTGTTCATCCCTTGGGTTGAATGAAAAAAAAGAACCTAACAAATTCCTCCATTCACATCGATCGATGTGAATGAAGAAATCTCTGTCAAATAAAATTGAAAAGAAATATGCCAAAGCATAGGAGCGATCCATCCACTGACCACCTCAGGCCCCATGCTTGGGCATATATGTTCTGTTTTTAACTAGTGATGATAAATCTCCTCCAGCAGTGCTGCACGCACTGACGTATATTCTGAGAGCACACCCTTTTGCTGCCAGAATAAAGAGATTGGTGCTGTAACTAAATGGCATTCCTGCAAAGAAAACAGTTAAGTATAAAACAGTAACAGTAGAACAGTAACTCAATAAACTTTTTTTTTTTTTTTATACTTTTTACCTTTTTTCTAACTTAACTGAAACTGTAATCAGGACTGATTTTAGGGTCTCTCAAAATGTGATAGCCAGTTTCCTGACTACCTAACATCTTTCAAGACCCTGTGTAAATGTTTACCTAGACTGTGCCATGCTGTACCCCATACTAATACTCCATAAGTGTGTGGGTAGCGACGGAAGCCGTCCTTGAGGCAGAGACCAGGTTGGCCAGGACAGGAGGGAAAAAAAAAGCGGGTGTCACGTCTAATTCCGTGTCTGCTACAGACACATCTTTTTTGGGATGACTTTTGAGTTGGGGTACCAGGACTGGCATTGGGAAAATGCCTCTCATGCAGCCTGCTCACTGCATCTGGATTTTGGGATTGGGCCACAGCACCTTTTGGATACAAAAGGGCAGCCGTGATGATCTCTCACTGAAATTTTAAGAAGGATTCGTCCAGTTGCTTTGTAAAGCGCAAAAGTGTTGTGCAGAGCCATTTGAAATAAATATACAAACACTTTTTTGTACCAGCATCTGGCTTTGTACCAGCATCTGGTCTAATTTATCCAGATCTTTATTTAACCGTTTTGTTAATTCTATCATCTCCTGGGAATCTTTTAATGATTCAATCTTATCTCTAATTTCACCAAGAAATAAAGTATAGGAAAGGAAAGAAATATCAGTGAGATTACAACAATTTTAAGAAGGATCAGGTATTTAAGTGGCAGTCTTTAACAAATGATATGGAAGTTATATCGGTCAACACTACCCCAGTCAAGGAGACAAAAATTGAGACACCCAAGAAAACCAGTTATGTATCAAGGTGAATACAATAATAATAAAAATCAGTATAGAAACAATAACAATTCTGCCTATCAGACACCAAGAAATGGGTGGAGACCACAGAATGGAGGCTATCCCCAGAATAATCAAAATAAACCTAAAGGGGGAGGAAAAGGGAAAAAATGGAAGCCATATCATCAGACATATAGGCCCAACTATATACCTAGAATGGAAAACTATGTAAGACCAGAACCCCAATATGGATACGACAATAGACAGTACTACGAGAGGAGTCCTAGGCATTACCAGCAGGATAATTGGAATTATTACCACCATCAAGGTGGAAGGAGTCCGTTACCCACATATAATAGATATGAACCATTGGGCTATGATCAGCCCCAGCGGGATTTTTTAGAGAGGGGATGGAAAGAAAGGAGTCCGGCTATGGAAAGAAGGCGAAGCCCCCCAGAGTAGGGGATGCAGAGCCGGGTGGAAAAAGCAAAAGAGAGAGCTAGGAGAAGGGGTGTTTAACTTACAGTGGGGATCGAAAGTTTGGGCACCCCAGCTAAAAATTTGTATTAATGTGCATAAAGAAGCCAAGGAAAGATGGAAAAATCTCCAAAAGGCATCAGATTACAGATTAGACATTCTTATAATATGTCAACAAAAGTTAGATTTTATTTCCATCATTTACACTTTCAAAATAACAGAAAACAAAAAAATGGCGTCTGCAAAAGTTTGGCCACCCTGCAGAATTTATAGCATGCACTGCCCCCTTTGCCAAGCTGAGACCTGCCAGTGTCATGGATTGTTCTCAGTCATCGTCTGGGAAGACCAGGTTATGTCAATCTCAAAGGTTTTAAATGCCCAGACTCATCTGACCTTGCCCCAACAATCAGCACCATGGGTTCTTCTAAGCAGTTGTCTAGAAAACTGAAACTGAAAATAGTTGACGCTCACAAAGCTGGAGAAGGCTATAAGAAGATAGCAAAGCGTTTTCAGATGTCAATATCCTCTGTTTGGAATGTAATTAAGAAATGGCAGTCATCAGGAACAGTGGAAGTTAAAGCAAGATCTGGAAGACCAAGAAAAATATCAGACAGAACAGCTCGCATGATTGTGAGAAAAACAATTCAAAACCCACGTTTGACTGATCGATCCCTTCAGAAAGATCTGGCAGACACTGGAGTTGTGGTACACTATTCCACTATAAAGAGATATTTGTACAAATATGGTCTTCATGGAAGAGTCATCAGAAGAAAACCTCTTCTACGTCCTCACCACAAAAATCATCGTTTGAACTTTGCAAATGACATATAGACAAGCCTGATGCATTTTGGAAACAAGTTTTGTGGACCGATGAGGTTAAAATTGAACTTTTTGGCCGGAATGAGCAAAGGTACAGTTGGAGAAGAAGGGGCACAGAATTTAATGAAAAGAAACTCTGTCCAACTGTTAAGCATGGGGTTGGATCAATCATGCTTTGGGGTTGTGTTGCAGCCAGTGGCACAGGGAACATCTCACGAGTAGAAGGAAAAATGGATTCAATAAAATTTCAGCAAATTTTGGATGGTAACTTGATGCCATCTGTATTTCTTCAGGATAATGTGAGTGGTTAGCAGCTACTTGCTTATATAGGGGTCTAATGGATCAGTCACATTAATTAAAAATATGTACATGGCGGCCATTTTCATGGAGACCGAGTGTCCATACTGATGTATTAGACGGTCGGCCATTTTCTTATGGACAAATAACCGATTCTATTCATACTAATCCTAGGTATACTGGGGGATAAATACTGTATTACAATATACCGATAAACAGACCTAACATAAGGATAGCTGGGCTAGCCAAGCCACTCATTAAAATGAGTACTGCCTTATATAAAAAGATAAAGTTAAAAACAATCTTTATTATACTTATAAAATAAATTAATAAATATATATATATATATATATATATATATATACTGTATATATGACATTTTTTTTATATATATATATAAAATTTTAAAATGCTCCTGGTATTAAAAAATAATTTGAAATACGATTTTTTGGGGAGATTCTACTATACCACTCTTACAATAAACCCATACATTGACAATAGATACAATATAAATAAGAATAAAAAGCATATATATATGAC